GGCGCGGCCCAGGCCGACGGGCAGGCCTGGTCGAGGAAGGCCGTGTTCTGCACCGCTGCGGGAGCCGGGAAGCCACCGGCGTAGTTCATGTTTTCTGCAGTGGGTAAAAACAGGACGACAAAGTAAAGCTTTTGCAGTGTAAACTTCATTAACCTTTCCATGCTCAATCTTATCGGCGTGAGACATGCCAGAACTGGCGTAAGCTTTCAGCAACCTCAGGCAGCTTTAGGGCAACACAGTGGTTAAGGATAACGGTTCCTGCTAACAAGACTGCCATTTTGTACTAGGAACCCACTAATGAATTGCTATCGGGAGCACTGGATAAAGCGTAGGCAATATCTCCACTGGAGAATGAAGTCTTTATGAGCCACAGGACGCGCAGGGCAAAGCCTACCCAGGTCTCACTGCCAACACGCCTCAGCTCTAAGCCCCCAGGGGATGGCTGTGCTGTCTGTGATACTGCAGCTCGACCTTTAATTATTGCTTAGGTAATGCTAAAGAATTCTAGGTTCCTGCCAGTGTGCTTCCCAAGCCAAGAAACTCTAGCCTGGAAAGGTAATTGGTCACAGGAGGCCTCCTGCTTCACACACTGGAAGGCAGAAGCCTGCCAGAGGGGAAACAAAGCAAGCTGTGCAAAACGAGTTGTGCAGTGCTGGGGCCATGAGCACTGCTCCCAATTCCCTCTCCAACAGAGTCCTTTACACGGCCTCTTTAGGCTTAGTATTTCTGGAAAAGGACAGTTTTCTCATCAGCCACTGCACAGACACCGTTTATTACTACAGAGCACCCCATCAGCTGGAAACTGTAAAGTCTGCTTAAGTGACCAAGGCCCAGATGTTTTTGCAACAACAAAAGTCAATCCCAGCCTTTGTTTTGCTAAAGGTGAGAGAAAGCAACATGCTTGGTGATAATGCAGAAGCTTTATCTCATCTTACCTTCTGGGAAAGCACCATATTCATTCATCTCTAATGGACAATACATGTTGGAAAACTGGCTGTCGCAGGCTGCATTCCAGTCAATGAAGCTGTCTCAACGTAAAGAAAATCTGCTTTCAGAAATAATTCACAGAACTTCTGGAAATTATTTAGAAATACTTATTTACTGTAAAGCTGTTGGATACAAAACACCTGTAACTAATGACTGGGCTTTTCACATTCCACTTGCCATACAAATCCTGCCACTATTTATCCTGTGCCATTACAAAGTAGTTATTCTCTCACTGAGCTTTTAGTTTCCAGAGAATTAATGATTTGTAACTGCAGTTATCACAGTCCTGCTGAGAACAGTTCAACTTCCTTCTCTGTACACAAGAAAATAATTGTATTTCTTTCCCATCTAAAGAGTAGACATGGAATGAAGTCAAATGGAGAAAATGGAGTGCACTCTCAAGCACTGCTATGAATAACAATTAGAATATGGATTTCTACTTCTACTGTCAGTCCTGTTAAACAATATGCCTTCTAAACTGCACAATGCTAACTTGGTTTTACTACTCAGGCACAGGGTTTTCAGACGTTATCACCACTACATATGAACCAATAACTACATGTATTTTTGTTTATATAGTCCAAATAGTCCAGTTATGAGATGGGCCTGTGAAAGTGAAGTAGTGCAATACGGTATCTGCCACAAATCACCATTTATTTGATGTGACTTAACCAGACCACTGACCATTATTCTAAATCATTAGGGCTGCAGTTTGTTGACAGAAAAGGTTTAGGGTGAGATGAGCGGGCTGCTTAGGATGAGAAGATCATCACTTGGGGATTTGAATGTTTTCACTCCATCATTTTGGATGACAGAATATGGCTTGAAGAATTGATGTCACCTTACTGCTCTGTGGTGGCTGAGCATTTCTTCTCCCTAGTTTGTGGTGCATCTTTCATTAGTAAAATTTACAGTGTGGAAAGTCTAAAGCAGAAAAATTACTCAAATTCATTCTTGCAGGAAGATCAGCTCAAATCCAGACAGTGCATGAAATATTTGGACATTTATTTTTATACCATCTTCAGATTGGTATATAAAAATATCTGCCTACATCATTTAATGTGAATACATACAGCAGAACACACCCTGTGATATACACACACAGGCCATGTGTTGAGCAAGAACAGAGGAGAAAAAAAAAAAAAACACTGAAAAAGCTAAGCTTTCTGCCATATAAAAGAAATGGAAGAAATTAGAAGCTTTCCAAAACGAATTGAATTTAAAGGGAATTCTGGAGTAGCTAAGAATAAGGGCATTGGTGAATTTGCATTATCAAAATTATTAATGAACAGTAATACAAAAATATAAACATATATACGGCAACATTCTTACCAGAATTAAACTTGAAGCTACTGCAAGGATTTTGTTTTATCTATCATTTGCCGCAGGGATATTGCAACATAAGCTCAGTATAGCCCTCTGCATCACAGAAATCCAACTAAAGGGTTACTGTCACTATCTACATAAAACATAACTTGCCTGTTGTGGACAGAGGGCGTTTCTTGGATCATGCACGGTATATTGTTCTCCAGGTTGTAGTTTAAGCTGTTTGTCAGGCAGACTGGTTGAGCAGGCCACAAGTCTCCTGCTGGGTAAAGACCTAGAAAGGTAAAGACAGGGGACTGAGATGCAGAACAGGAAGGAGGCATTTATAAACACTTTGTATCACGATGACATTTCATTCTCAGATCCACAACAAAGGCTGTATGCTAGATTAAAAAAAAAAATCCAGAGAGATAGTACCAACCTGTTTGATAAGTTTCAATTTTTACACAAATCTCAAAAAATGTATTTATTACAAAATACTTAAAAAGACTCGAAGCTGATTCTGAAATTCAGGGAAAAAACTCCTATAGTGACTTCTTGAGCCATCAGTCACAAGCACCAACACAGGGCTGCTCCTCACAGTAAGGAGAGGCCAGATGGGCATAGGCCCCACAAGCTCCACCTGACTCCCACCTTCAGTCAGTAATCAGCTCTGCGGGAAAAATGAATGCAGGAACAGTGCTACGAGAGGCATTCATGTGCAAACATAGTTGTATTTAGCCTGTAGGGCTAATTCATTGTGGGGTTCTGGACAGTCTTAATCCTCTGACTGCCCAGACATATTTAGTTCCTATCAACTCAGTAAAAACAGGCAGCTGGGCAAAGGAAATGATCTGAATGACTGGTCCTCACAACAGACTGGTTGCAAAGTGGGCTCAATTTCATTATTTCACATCATTGTTGCTACGAATACGGCTACCATCAGAAAAGCTTTTTGATCAGTGTCTGCACCTGGGCCACAGGCAGAGCAGAGAGCTCGCCTGCTCCAAGAGATATGTTTTCTAACCAGCTTTCAAACTTTACCTCACCATTTAGCCTTTTGCTTTTATGAACTTTATTGAACAGCTTAACATTATTATTTCCCCTTGAAATACAAACACTGAAAACTGTGAGAGATTTAAAAGCCCAAATCCACTCTTATTCTTTATCCCTCTCAAGCAAAGCAAGTCCTAGCTGTGGAAATTAGAGAAAAATGGTCATATCTTGGCATGTCATTGATGCCAACGTTCATTTTAACACAAGAATCACTGCTCTTCATCTTTAAAGTCACATTACTTCAGATAAAACCTGTTCAAAGCAAGATTAAAACAAACAAAGGAAAAAAATCCCAGCGTAAGTTGTTAATAAAGTAACTAACCTTTATTTTTGTCAGGATCTGCAGCCATGTCAGTAAAATTAGGACATAAAGTTTCTGGATATTGGGGGATGGTGTTCAAGTCTCTGCTAAATGAAAAGAAAAAATATTTCTAAATTCAGGCTCTATAATATTTTGAAATCCAAATTATTTCAAAACAAATATACAGAGATGTAAGAAATACTCTGATGAATAACACAGTTGCTATTGCTTTCATAGTTGCTTTCCTGATTCTCCATATTTTCAATTACCATGTTGCATTTTTAATTTTTTTTTCTTAGTTAAAAAAACAGCTGCTTGTTACATGCGAAAAATGAGTTTAACCTAACACCCCAACTCCTACTATCCAAGTTTCAATCTATTCCAAACTGTAGAAGTGGAAAGGAAGCTCTATTGCACTAAGATGGCTACAGTTGCTCATGTGTTTCAGTGCTTCCCATAATTTTCAGAGTAGCAGTTTACTTCCATGGACACAAGGAGACATGGGCCTGGACACTGATTCCCTATTCATGCAATCCCATATTCATCCCACCAAACAAACCAGTCAATAAGAACACTCCCGGAAAGGGAACATTTTCAAGTACCAGAATCCCAGAGGAAGACTATAGTGAAAACTCAGACAGGCATGAATGAGAGATGAAATGAGGATTTACAGTAATAAAAAATTTAGATGCTAATTCTCTTACAGGAAAGAGGTAGAAAAGAACATGAGGAGGGTGAATCAATTTTCGTGCTGTATATCCTTAGAGAACATTATTCTCATTGAAAGAATATCATCAACTTGAAAATCTCACTTCCACTTATAAAAAAAAAATACTGCATTAGTATGCCTAAATGATAAGCAAATGTTGCTAGATTTGGGAGAAATCAAAGATAAAAATCATTCTTTTTTCTTTTTTCTCCCCAAATTTTATTTTACATTTGGAAGCATTTACCATATTTCCCAAGCACAATCCATTTTCTGGCTCGAAGATCTTTTTACATATAGAGAAAGATTTTTCTTTTTCAAATTAGGAAAATAAGATTAGATGACCAAAAGAAAGAAAATAGGTGTAATTTATCAAAATGAAACAAGATTTCAAGTTGGTGGAGTTTCTTTAATGTCTTATAGGTATAGATTCAAATTTTTTACCTGGTATTGCAGATGTTATGAGACAGATTTAAAGTGATAGGAGTTTCAGATGGAAAATCATTTTGTGAAATATTCTCTCCTATAGAAAAGAATGACTGTAAAAATCAAAGATCTTTAAAACAAGCAAATAAAAAGAAGTCTGTACATAATATATATACACAAAAATAGACTTATAATTGGCATAAACCAAGGTTTCTCTCAGGTTGGTGTATCAATAACTTCATTAATTCTAACATGCATCACATGTTAAAGGGTTTGCTTACCAACTACAATGACAAAGTTGTCCTTTATAGCTCCTTTTCCATATAGCCTTTTGTTTATGACTAGTTGAAGGGGCAGGAAGAGCCCACATGGTGTTAAGTGTATTTTGTAAGTACAGTTTTAATATTAACGGAGATTCCCTTTTTTATCAAATTCATTATGAATTTGGAATTCCTTTTTTTTTTTTTTTTCCTTTTCCTTACAGGCATTACAATCGGAACAAACAGAAGACTCATTTGCACGTGATTCACAACATTCTACGTGTATTGGCTTAGGTCTTCGGCGTTTGACTTTTTTGATGATATTCAGGCATTCAGAAAGATACAATAATGAAGCACAGTTGCTACTTTTCAGAATAATCAAGTGTCTTAGGGATCTTGACAACTTAGAGATCTTGATCATATTTTTACGAGAACCATGTGATGCAAAATTAATTAAAAGGCAAAAATTGTTTTCACTCTTAGTTCCTCCACCTTTCCACAAGAGCTAATTGTGCATAGCCTGCTCCGTGCAGCGCCTGACAGCTTCCTCACAGCCAGGCAGCTCATTTTTCTTGCCACAAAACCTTCCAGTACTTACAGCTCTTCTCATCTCTCCTCTTTCTGAGGTCTTCTCCCCCTTACAAGAGAAGTTGCACATTCCTTCCCAATCAAGAGTCAGTCCCCTGCCCCTTCACCACCCAAAAGGCAGACCAAAACTCTGCAGAAATTATGCTAACTGCAGAACGTACGAGATGGAAGGAAATGCCGGGCAGCGATCATCGGCTTTTTGTCTCCGTCGGAACTGCTGGTGCTGCTCCAGCTGCCCCAGCTCCCGCGGCTGGCACGAACACTCCCGGACGAACTGCCGCAGTCTGAGCTCGAGTCGGAACAAAACTTCTCCAAACACTTCTTTTTGGATCGTTGATAAAAGCTCTCTAGAGAGGTTGGGGGAAAAAAAATACTCAAATAACTAAGCCCTTAAAACACAAATTCAATGGAAAGTCATCCAAAACATGCATTCTCTCAATTTCTTGATAATAGGATCAAAAATGAAGTTTGTTGATAGTCTCATCAAGATACACATGCCAGCCCCTATCGTGAGGGAGTCACGACCTAAATGACATCCTCAGTACAGTGAATACAAGCTAGGGGACATGGCAGTTAAGGTAATACAGGCAACAGGATGAAGCGGGAAGCTGCGCTTTGAAACATTCAGATGTTATTTTAAACAAGAAGCACGTCCTGGCTGTAGGAACTTTTTAAAACCAATGGCAAATGCTATAAATAATGAATCCACACAAGAACAATTTCTCCTCCTCTGTCTTCTCATCAGGAAGACAGAGGATAATCCTGTGAATATTTACACCTTCTTCAGTCCTTCTCTTCCCAAAAGCCAGGTAAAACTGCCAGAGACAGAAAAGCATGTATCTAAGCCAGTGGTGCTTTTGAGCATGACCTGAAAAGTGGCCGTAGCAACACAGCTACTTCAGCTAATATCAGCTGTAATGCGAAACACAGTCAAACATCTGTCCATTGCCCAGGTATCCTCAGCCACTACTGCCACCCCGTGTCAAGCTTCAAGAGAGGAAGGGGCAAAAAATCACTCTGGAAAGGCACCCACTCAATTCTACTGCCGCAAAAACATTTTACATTTTTCCCCAGTTTAAGAAAACGCAGATGACCTACCTGTTTCTCCCTGTATGGACAAGCTCCCATTTTTCTGGTCTGCTTTGCAGTTCTCCCCGTTGCCCTGAGGGCACCACGCTCTGATTCCCATGTTGGCTCTCAGCTCTGGCCTTTCAAACTCACTGCACAGATGCTTCAGCTTGCTCTGCTCAGGAACCCTAAGGCAGCCGCACCCAAAGGATCACGTCAGGATTTTACATTTTAGCTCAAGAGCTTATCAAGGTGGGATGTGGGGCCAGGAGTAAGAGTCTTATTCAATGCCTTAGAAAAACCTAAAAAGGCTTTACTGAAACCTTCCCAAAATACAATGTTTGGCTCCACAAACTACTCAGAGAGGGGAAGGGCAGAAAGCAAGTATATGTTTAATTCCATTCTGTGATGCACTTGCAGAGGGCATGCAGATATCATCGTGGTATCTTATCAATAAGTATAGCACTGTAAACGATCCAGTTATATAGAAAAATGGACACTCTGTCTATTTCATTGGCATAATTATAACTAATACAAATCCATCATCTGAAATATTTTTGATGGAAAACCTGAAATATTCGGATCCAACAGAGTAATCAGAAGATACTAAGGGAAGACGAGTAAAATCCAGCTGTCAAGTTTCTGTGGAGGGTTGTTACATCGTAGCTCAAAAAGCATCAGCTACTGAATCAGTTCAAGGAACAGGCCACCATATTCAAGTACTTTGCTCCCATTTTTCATACCTCTCACCTATAAAGGTCTGCATGCTGCAAGGACTTTTTATTTATGTTGACTTCCCGCACCATGAGTGGGACTAATCTAGCACCAGTTTAGAATTGGTATTTCTTAATAAATAAGAATAATATATAAAGAATAATAATAAATAAGAAAATTTCACATAAAAATGTGAAATTATGAGTAATTTACAGCCCACTGTAAAAATTTATTTTTCAGGAAACTGAGTATCTTCCCAGGGCTCTTTCAATATTCTTATGAGCCCAAATGCTGCTCCAGTCAACGTAATGCTTATCTGTAAAGTCCCAATAACAGTATTGCATTAACCTCTCTGAGGAATATAACTTTCTAATCATTATGGGAAAATACAAGTCCCTGCCTTTTTTCTGTGAATCTCTCTTCCTCTTTCGAAACTACTATAGTAAAACATTCCCTAAGCAGGTCAAAATGCAGCTGATTCATGTGAGAGTGGAGTCACTTCAACAATTTTCTTTTTTTTTTTCTCTCCCGGAGGCAATTCATAACCAGATTTTATCTATACAACACGTAAGGGCGAGGAAGCTAACCATCCGAATTTTAAAGACTGCAAACACCAGACTGTAACAGAGACTAACTACTGCTATGCAGAATGGGGTGAGTTTATTTACATGCAGATTTACAACAGGATTTTTTTTTTCTGGTGATACTCAGTACTGCACATTCTTAACAAGAAAGTCTCAGGCCTGGATTAGGGTGTGTTTATTTAAATAGATAAAGCGAATGCCTAATGTATACTCAAAAGACCTGAGAAACCATTAAAGCATCTCTGGTTTTCTCTATAACTTGGTGAGGCAATACATACCTTGTAGAAATATTAACATTCTTTTTCTTATTTTTTCTAGATGTTCTGTTTCTATTCCAATTTATATTTGATGCATTTCCTTCTTTCTTCTCCTGAGGTTTCTTCTTCCTATAGACATCTTCCTGCTAAAGGTAAAAATACAAGCTGAGACAATATGTGCTTTTATAAAAATGAAGCCAGCTCAGTAGATGAACTCCACTGGATTTTTCTGGCTAAATATCTGGACAAAATGACCCAATTGCACAGTTACTGCATGATTTAGTGCCTTTCCGCTGCATGTCCTCTTTCCAGGACCATCAACTTCACCAGAGTTTCCAAGAGTTTGTCCTTCAAAATACCAACAGATGACGAGAGAGAGATTTTTGAAATCCCAGTGTTAGTATTCTCCCCCTGCAGCATCTAGCCCTGACTTCCAGAGAAGTAAAAAACAGGGGAGGAAAGAGGGAAGCAGTCAATAAACTTTCCAATGTGCGAAAAACAAAAAACATCTGCCAGATTTATGATCAGTTTGTGTGCAAGTTCAGCAGCAATAAATCCTCCCTTTCCTCAGCAGCTGGGGGTCACCTCCCACTCCCATTCATCTGAACTACAACAGAGGAAATAATGGGGTAAGTTAGCCAACAAATAATAATAATTAAGAAATGCGAGAAACAAAAACTTGAGAACCCACACACAAAAAGAAATGTGCAACAATTCTGAAAAGAAAGACTAGAAAACTCTCCTTCCTTTATGTACTCCTGAAGCACCCCAAAAACTTTGTCATTACCCTTCTTGGTCACAGGATTAGTATCTATCAGTTAGAATAAAATTTTAATCTAAATTCTTTGGTTTTTCAGTTACCTGAGGAAGCGCTTCATGTAATTTAGACTAGCGGCAATAAGGTCCAATGTATCGTGTTCATCGAGTGCTCGCGAATCAGTTGCAGCCTGGTAAGAGGCTTCTGCCCCTTAGGTAAATATTATTTATTTATGTATTTAATGTCCCTTGATTCTGAATGCAGTTTTCCAATTCAAAGCCCTATATTTGGAGATCAGATGTGCAAGTGGAGGCAGGAATTCTCCTCTAGGACCGGCTGCCTCCCCTCTGGGATTTGTTCCCCCATCACTGCTGTGTCTGAGAGCTGGTATTAGACTCCAGCGCGTTTATGCCCGCTCTGATGACAAGTGAGAAACCCTCTTGTTGTGATACAGCTAGTATGACAATATAAGGGCTGTTTTAAATTTTACCAGAACTATTCACCATTTTATAAACCATCCCTTGAAAGGGATGTGGGACAGCACATCCAATTACTTCCTTGTTCACCTGATTTAGAGTAAAGAGTTTGTAGTGTGTTTGTGGCTGCATGCAACTGTCTATACACACACATATATATACACACATACACACACCTCTATATGCATATACAGAAATAAATAAAAAGGACATGGTTTTTAATTTGGAAAGCAGAAAAATCATTTAATACAAACCTCAGAGGAAGCAATCTCCTCTTTTGTGCAGCACGGGGTCTCTTCTTTAGGTCCTTTATTAATCTTTTTCTCAGTGGAAGGCTTTAGGTTGATCTGCTTTTTTAAAGTCTCACAGTTTTCTGTTTCATTCCCGAGAGGCACTTGCTGGTTATTCCCTACAATTAAGCAGGAAAATCCATTGAACTAGAAAGAACAGACTCCTAATCACATCTCCCTCTACCTTCATCTTCATCAGCCACTGTTTACTTTGATCAGGCCCCAGACACAGGGTGGAATTTGAAGCCAGAGAATACCTGACTTAAAAGCAAACAAAAATCCCTCTAAACAGGAGGAGAACATTTTTCCAAAAACATGTGCATCAAAATAAGGCAAATCTTTACTTGGAGCTTTTAGTTTCTGAAATGTCCTCTGCCTTCACAGCAAAGGGAAAGCAAAATTGTGCTTTCTTTTGGATAGACTTAGCATTAAAAGCAGCTTTTCTTGAGAGGCTTGTGAGGAAGAAGAGTTGATAACAAAGGCAAAATCATCCAGTCAAGCATCTCCTCTCTGCCTGGGCCATTCCCCTGGGCTTTTGCTCAGAGCCAAAGTTATTTCAGATATCTGCAAAACAGCAACAGGGATCTGCTCCTGACACTCTTGGCCGCTCCTTTTTATGCATGAGAAATGCATAAAGGACACAAGAACCACCACACTGAACTGTTTTGCTCAAAGAGGGAGGCACACCCAAACGCTGGAGCTCGGAGCAGACAGACCAGTGCCACCACAGCCTCAGCAAATGTCAACCTTCAGCGCTCAACTACTATGCGCTCTTAACCAAAACCAAACGTCTGGAGAGAACATTTCCCTAATCTGCCTTCAATTTCCCCTGAGCGCCTGCACTTTTCTTGCAAAGCCAAGTGGTAGGATTTCTTAGGCAGTTTAGCTCTACAATTGAAAAAGCAAGATGAAAATACAACTTCACCATTATTGAGAGAAATGAAACCCATGAACTCCTACAAAATATAAGGATTTCAAATATTCTGATGCCAAGTTTCGTTCAGTGAGGTGTTACTACAGGAATTCTAAAATAGACTGTACTGAGGATGTTGCTCAGTAACTTTAAAAATCAGGCAACAGATTTTCAGTGGGCCTGCGAATAGCAAGCAGGGATGTTTATGAACAGCTAACAAAGGCAATCTGTATTTTTCAGAAGATCTGTGACAACAACAATATTAATCTTTAAAATGCTGCAGGATAAAACTTGGAATGTGTGAAAGAAGACAAAGTCTTAACATTGATCACTGCAGTCAGTATCTTTATAGCTACACTCCAGCACTAGCTGTGATTTATGAAACTACTTTTAATGCATGCTGTTCCTTGGGAATCTAAATAAACATATCGTAGGGAGAACATAACTAACACCACATCTCCTTGTCAGGCAAAAAAGAAATTGAAAAAAAGTTACCACTATTTTTCCTGGAAAGTTCTTGCAGTTCCGGCTGTTGCTGAGGTGAATTTCTTGACGAGTGACTTTCAGGTAGCTTCTTAGACATCTTCACAGGACAGAACTCCTGTTCTTTGAGCTCAGCTAGATTCTCTGAAGTTTTAAGGTTAGTTTCCTTAGGAAACATACATGTTTGAAGATCTTCCTTCAGATCACACTCTGAAGAAGTATTTTTAATGAGAACTGTATTTTTCAGTGCACTTTCTTCTTTGCCCAGAAAGTTTTCTGGTAGAGTTAAATTCTTGTTAACGTTTATGCCATCTGCATATTTTAGCGTTACCCAGTTCTCACTGACAACATCAGTGCAAATGTCCTCTTTTGGTGCTGAGATTTGGTTCTCTGCCATCTGGTTTTGCTTTTCATCAGTAGTTGCAATGGCATGGCCAGCTGCTGTGTTTGGCTTTTGCTTACTGTAGTAAACTGAACATTTGTGTTTTTTCTGAGAGTGGCTGTAGGTCGCAGGACTCCTCTTTGCTGCGTTCTGACTTCGGCTCGAAGAAGCACCTACAGACAGGAAGCCCTTTCCTTTGCCTTTATCAGATGAGCTGTAGGAATCCATGAATGTCTTGCAGCTTCCCCTGGCAAGAAGATAAGTTATTTGAGATTTGGTGCTGTCTGTGAAGCTGTCATCAATTGTTTTATATGCGTGCTTTTTTTGTTTTTTGTTTTTTTTCATAACAGAAAAGCCCCCAAAATGCATTAAGATTTCACAAGCCCCCAAAACGCATTAAGATCTCACATCATCAAACAAGTAACTTGTTTCCAGAGTAAGTAACTCTGGTTTCACTGGGAGTTGAGCAACATTACATGTGTGATCAGACTTCAAACACTTACATGCCTGAGTGAATAAGTGCCTAACTGACCACCCAAGATGGGCAGCCTTGAGGACCATTAATGTATTTCCTATTCTGTGCTTTCCATGCCTGCTGCACACGGTGTATCCACCACCTCCATTACCCATCTAAGCACTCTGCACTAACAATATGCAAAATTAATAACCCGTCAGGTTCTTCAGTTTCTCTGGCAGAGATGAAAATATGAAGCATTGCCTAAAATATGTCACTACACTGAAATCTCCTATAAACAAGCCCATAACAATATCAAAGTACAAGCAGATAGAAAGTATTACTCTGCACTGAATGGAGTGCTGCTCAGAAGAGGAAAAAAGTATTTTTACTTGTAAGAATCAGAGCTGATTATGTCAACGGAGCTGTTGTTCTGCTGTGGTGGAGAACTGGGATTTGGCCTCTGTCTTGATTTCACGAATTCTGCTAGGATGTACTGGGCTTGCTGGAAGGCTATCAACACCACACCCAACAAGGACAAGCTGTCAAATGAAATGGAAGATGCTGGTGTCAGCAGTTTTCAACAGCGTTCAATGACAGAGATAAAGTTTCTAACAAGATTTACTTTTCAAACATTTTGTTAGTACTTCTACACCTGAAGACAGCTGAGAAAGCATTAAAAAAAGTTGCCACAATTTGCTATTTTTCTCCCTTCCCCCCCGCACTCCCACTCATAATCCCCAATTCCTCATTTTTTCCAAATCCCTGTAGCACCCTCTGTTGCATCTAGAACCATGTAACATGGTCAGTCTTGGTTTTGGTTTGGTGCTCTTGCTGCTTTCAGTGCCAGGACAGCAACACAAGCAGGCTCTCAGCGTGCACACCCAGACCTCTGGTGGCTGTTACACATTAGGATCTGTAGCATCGCAATATTAGCTGTTGCTGATCAAAAGCATCTTTTAACAGGTGGAAGGAAGCAAGGTGAAGGAGAAGCATGCATTTACTTAGTTGTCTAAAACTTCAGAGTTATGATTCACGTACACTCGGTTCTATTTATGACATTCAGGCACATCTCTACTGCTGGGGAATTAGTCTTCTAGCAATGTGCTGTCCAGTTAGGGGTATCCTAACGCTTTCTTTGCAGCTTTAACACAGGAGTATGTCAGAAGCAGGAGAACAAAGTGCCTGTCAGTGCTACCACCAGCTACAAAATCTCATGCAAGCTATCATGGCCAGCTGGCACGAGTTGGTTCCTAGGAGTCAAATTCCTAGGAAACGTAGATGCAGCAGAGATTTTGGTCTTGCCATTAAGAATGTAAGACGACTTTAAAGTAAGAAATTGTCAGACGAGAAGTTTCCTTCCCCCTGCACCCTGGTGTGCAGGCTGCACGCGCGCTACCTGACAAAGAGGACGGTGAGCCTCCAGAAGGATTCCTCCCAGCTGGGCCCGGGCACCACATCTGCGCACAGCGGCAGCAGGTGGTGAGGAAGAGTCACGTTCAGCGTGAAGTGGAACTCCAGGTCAGCAGCCGTCACCAGCGTAAGCTCCCGGATTACCCAGGAAGAGGTAAAGTCAGGTGTAAATCTGTGAGAAGAGCAGAAAGCGCCGGTGTTATTTTTCCACTGCTGGGTTTAATTTCATTTTCTAAAGTCACATTGACCCCAAAATACAAAACAATTTCTGATTTAACAATATGAAAAAAACACAGTAGGTGACCACTGGTTGCTTGGATTATGCAGATGCACCATCTAGGTCATCTGCCTAGCAGAAATACAACTTTGAGGTCATCTGCAAGCAGTAAAATACATTTGTTTATACACACAAAAATACAGTCATGCACACACACGCTGCTGTTCTGTGACTTGTTTTCCATTTTTCAAGGGAGAGCACACAGTCAATCCACACTAACTGAAATGCTCTACATCAAAAATAGTTATCAAGCATACAGGCAGCACTGTTTGGAAAGGGCCAGATACCAAGGCTCCTTGGACATGGCGCACAGAGGAATAAAAGATTCCTAATAGATGATGATTGGGCTAGAAAGGCCAAATTCTTCTTCCACTTATTTCTCAGACCCATTCCACTGTTCTACTCAACAGGATTTAAAAGGAATCATTTTTAGAACTCTCTGCAACGTTAGGAAAACGTGACTAGATTGAAGTCTTCTTGTAAAGTGGAGAAAAGTGAGCAATGAAAAAAAGTCAGTGGCGAAGCATTCCATCCTCATTTATCGTGATGAGTCTTTTGTTTTAATGGATTACTGCATAATGTGCAGGCAAAAGCATCTATGCTGCCTTGTAAAGATAATGGTGTCCCATAAAGAAACCTTATTAATATCATCAATTTGTTAGCATTATACTTACTGAAGAGTGGAAATGCCTAAGGAATTTATATTTAAAGCTCTCCAAATCGTGTATGTGTGTTGTTGGAATGCCTGTTACTGAAACTCTGTTACTATTTCAAATTTCCACTTAAATTAATTTGTCAGCAAATTTGTCAGTGCTTACACAATACTGATCTCTCGTGATGAGTTCTGAGCCAGGAAAAATTCCTGACAGTCTAACACTTCAAACCCATATCCTTGGCAACTATAACCATTGATTTTCATAGATGTAATTGTTATAGGAAGAGGCCCAATATTCTCTACTTTGAAGTTCTTCGTAATGGATAAAATTTGCTTGCTGTCTTTTAGTTCTGAAAGAAAAAAAAAAGAGAATATTCAATAATTTTTCAATGCTTAAGAAGCTTCTTATGTTTATAAATGATTTTTACTTTCAATCTAATAAAAAAATTCAAAAGTGGCCAACATTTTAATACAAGCTGTTTTGCACTAGTGTATTTCCAGAATTTGTTACTATCCTCAGCCAATGCTTTGAGAAAATAGAACCTCCTTCTCTCATTACCATGGTCTTCAGATTTCTACTTCGACTTTCTGTTTAGTAACAATAATGCTAAGGATTAACACAGCCAGCTACAGGATCAGAGACCTGCTCCTCCTTACTCACGTCGTCTGCAGTCCATTAGCGTAGCTTCTGGCACCTTGAACCTAAGTGATCCTCCTGCACCTGGCAGTCGGCCCCCTACTTTAAGCAGCTCTTTGGCTCCAAAGCCTTCTACGCTGACCACATCCAGGACAGTCAAGTTGTTTCTGTCACAATGTAAAAATCAAGCAGTCAGTCCCTGAATCACTAAAGTAGGTTATAAAAACATGGCTCTGCTATCTAGGTGTCAAACCAACACAATGGTTTTTCAGGAAGAGAACAACTGGCCACATCTGCATAAATACATTTCCCTAAATACAGACAGGATCATTCAGGTCCCACTCATCTGTGAATTTCTACCCAGGAAAGGAACTTTTTTGACTACTGCCATTGGATGACAGTGGTTGCTTCTTCCATACACTCTATCTTCCTCTAAAAATATCCAATGTATGGCTGCAATTTTGATCCACTGGATACTTAAATCCTGTCATTATGAAGTTGAAAGCAATGAAATCACACAGCACAACAATAACGCTGCTCTGCTCGTAAAGGAATACACTAATGGAAAATACAAGAGACTTCCACAGACTCACGGAATCACAGAATGGTTGAGGTTGGAAGGGACCCTCTGGAGATCACCTAGTCCAAGCCCCCTGCTCAAGCAGAGACCCCTAGAGCACACGGCACCCATGCAGAACTGCGTACGGCAGTACCTGCACGTGCTAGTTAGGAGCAGAACCACCTAAGCTACCTTCGAGTGAACTAATTTTGCTAGTGAAGAGAGGTAGACATGAAACATCACTTTGTTAACATAACAACTCTTTCAGTACCTAAGATACTTAAATCAGAACTGCCCCAGTTACATTCATATAGATTTTATAACCCACTGATCAGACACCGAGGGAAAAATAAAGGCTCAACTGAAGTTATGATTTTCAAATGACAACACATAAGGCACAAAGAGCCTTTAAGCAGAAACAAGACATCAGGGTCTTTTTTATTATTATCACAGGAAAGACACTTTGATGTCCAAACTTTGACCACTTGTCTTTGCTCTAAGATTTGGCAAATTAATTTTCATGCAGTTGTTTGCTTATCACTTACAACTGAAACCTGGCCTACCTGATTAAAATAAGGGAAGCTACTCTTCTGTAGTCAGCTGGTGTAAAAACTACACCGACTCTCCTGGTTTCCAAAGGTTGCAAATGTAAGTGAAGCAGCTCAGCACTGCATTTCTTGTTAATGAGATCCTCCTGATGTGTTTTCTGGTAAGGAAAAAATGCAGTTATTTATTCAAGGAAAACATATGCTTTTAAAAATCTCAGTGAAGAAAGCACCAAATCTTTACTTAGCACCACATAAGATATATTTTGGCAAGGTGCAATTACTGCTGACTAACTTGTTACACAAAACTGTTTTAATGTGACAGCATAAAACATCAGATAAGGTTGTTTATTTGACCAAAAGTTCATATTACTGCACTTATTATAAGGAATGTATTACTTCATTTTTTTAAAAACAGATTTTATTTGCTCAGATGGAAAAGAAATTATATACTGTCTTTCATACTCAAGGAATGCTGAAGTACTTCACAACACAAGGAGAACTGACAATATACTGATTGCACAGGAAAATGTGGCAACCATTATACCCCCAGCGTAAGACTTGCAACTTGATTTAATGGAGAGAAGGACTGTTGGCAAATATGCTGATCATTTGAGTCACTGAACACAAGCCAAAGTGAACTCCTCAGCATATTAATTGAAGAACAGCACTACCAGAAGCTCAGCAAGTCCAGAAATAATGTAATAATTTTGCTGGGTTTCAACATTGTTTAATCTTTTCCCCATTAAAAAATTGAAAATAACCATAAAATCTCTCTATACCCAAACTCAGGCTCTCTTAGAAAATTATTCAGACACCTATAAAGTGGTCAAAACAACTATAAATATTAAAAAATAGGCTTTCGATCAGGTGTTTTTAAATTCATAGGTGTTTAACTAATGCCTTAACTTCTCTCGTCCAAAGCATTCACATTCTTGTCTATTTTATGAAAAAAGGGGTGTACATCAAGTTTTAGAACCTGCACTTAACAATCAGTATCCATTCAAGCCAAACACATACGACATTTGCAAAGTTCACCCTGTCACTCCCTCCCCACTCCCTGTATCTCTATATGCATACACTTAGATGTATATACTCAGATGCTTAGCAATCCATGGCACATGTGTATATATAATGTGATTGGGAAAACAATGACCCATTTGAAACTGTAAACCATAACAATCAGGGATTTCATTAACCGTAAACCAAGAGCTGCCCTGCATATATATATATATATATATATACACACACACATATACTGAATAACTACCTAATCATACACGTTCTTTCTAGCCCTTGCAGCCTCTAGGTGAAATGCAGACATGACTCAGGCCGGGGTTGAATGCTGCCCCTGCTTTCCACTTGGCGAGGCTGCGGGGGCCCTGCACACTCAGCCCTATCTCCGTAGTAGTGGAACCACCTTCTCTTTCTCAGCGTGTGCCTACAAGCTGCAGGAGCAGCTGGCACATGCATACACGTCAAAGACAGGCTTCAGCAGAGCTGGGAGGTCAGCATGAGCTCTGCTGGTGCCCTGGACAGTCCTCGGGCTGCAAGACGAGCCCGTGCCTGCAGCCCTGCAACTCCACTGCCTCTGCCACCTGTGCTGGGACGGCCCACTGCGGCATCACCCCACTCCTGCTCGAGACAGGGCAGAGAGAAACCATTCCGCACTCCATAGGGAAGCTCCAGCGGGATGGAGGTCATGTATAAAACCCAGCTCTCTCCTCCCTCGAACAAGGCAGAATTTCTGCCTATTATCCAACTAGCTTGTGAGTTCCCTGACTTGGGAACCCGACTCCGGGGGCAAAACACAAGTCCCCGCAGAGGAGGTAAACTGTGGCCTTTCACGTTAGCTGTGGCCTCCTCAACACGCACAGGCCCACATGCTGCACGGGCTCCCTCCCCACTGCTGTTTGCAGTTTAGCAAACAACCAACTCTGAAAATAAATCAACTGCAAAGATAGACACCTATCAGAAAATCAAGAGAACACAACTAAGATGTTTCAAATAGCCTTTGGTAACTACTGCAGTATAACATAGTTTGCAAAATGTTCATTATTACAGTGTGTCAAATCACTTCCCCATTCAGAACTAGATATCTTACCCTGTGAAAACACTCATCCATGAGCCTGAATTCAGTGGTTGTGAAATTAATAGTTTTCACATTTATGCCAAACCTAAATAAACCAAAACAAAAAAAAAATTAAGTACTTCAGAACTAATCTGTCAGAACTGCACTGATTTGTTTTTACATGCTGGCATTTATTCTTAAGTAAAGAATAATTTTAACTTGGCAGATGTGAAATACTTTCAAAACATGGGTCTGCATTTTAACAAATACACCACAATTTTAGGATGATTCTACGTATTTGGAAAGCAGACACATGGGTTTGGCTTTTTAAACCTCTCAGCATGAAATATGACAAATAATAGCAATGAAGATATACAATTTCTAAGACATACCATTTTTATTTCATATAAACATAAATGCTCAAATGCTTTTCCTGACCACACAACCTATGAGAAATAATCATTATCAAATCTTAATAATTTACTCAAATATCCCTCTTTCTGCTCATGATTTATTTGGGACAAATTCATATTTTTTCCCCCCATGTACTCTGCAAATTAAAATCACTCATAGCATTAACTATTTGTCCAAGAACAAAGAAGATGCATTTGACACTTACAGCTTTGTGAATGGACATAAGAAAACTACTGGGCAGAGTTTACATCATGGAAGACTAAGGGGCCTCCAGCTACTGAATTAAAAATTCACCTGCCACAACTTCAACCACATTAGCTTAAAAGACCCGGTCAGTGAACATGACCTCTGGTAAACTCAAAAGATTTGCAGAAACAAAACTGTGCAAATACAGACAAAAAGTAATTTCAAACCACTAGTAAAGAGTATAGATGGAAATTATATTTGCAACTATTAATGCACACAGATGTATACATATACATGCACACACACACACACACGTAAAGAAATTATGTTAAGGAAGCAATTAAACAGGGATTTGGGCCCCAAGTAAGCAGGTGAGTTGTCCCACTAACTCCCAGCAAGCAAATAATGAAAATCATAGTCCTACTACATAGAGAAGTATGGCAGTTTTTCAAAGTTGAATGTGACGGGGCTTATTTGAGTTAAATCCAGCCCATGTTACCATCCCTCTTTAGACTGTCTATCTAGCTCTGCCTAAATTTCTCATCTCCTCTTAAAAAAAAGGCAGAAGTTAGATCTTCAGTTCTAGAATGAAATGTTCAAAACAATGCAGCGACATTTATTTATTTGCATTACTTATGGTTTGAGGCTGGCAGACAAACTCATTGGAAATACTCATTTGGGTTTTATCACAGAGCAGAGCTGCCCTGAACACAATTACACCTTCCCAAATGGGATGGAACGTCGTCCCCAGCTAAGTTACGCTTTGAAAAACTAAAACAGACCATAAGCACCAATCACAAGGCATAGCAAATACATCTTTATAAAGGGAAAGTAGTATTCCGAGAGTTATACTAATTACCATTTGCTGAGCAGATTCACTGAAGCTTGAGGATCGGGGTAGTAAGAAAGAGGCAGAAGCTGCAGTGTAACTGGGAAGGATGAAGGGTTTCGTAGTACAAAATATTTTACCTTTGGAGGGAAAAAGAAAAAGTTAAAAACTACATACTTGATATTTGGAAGGTAAAATAATTCAGCATTGGTAACATGAGCTGCATTTTCAAGGGACTTTTAGCCTGGCTTCTGTCTTAATACTTTACAACCACATGTGCACAAAACCACATGAAACAGCAGGAGATCTCGCCACAATGTCTTCATTTGCAGAAACAGCTAAGAGAACATGAAGCATGGGCAAAAATACATACTTCTTTTCCTCAAAACAACTTTTCCACAAGGTGCCATTCTTTCTCACAGAAGCGAGTGCAAGTAGGTTGCACATGGCACTGCGATAACTGACAGCCAAATGGCACAAACGGAATATTAAAGTAATTCACACTATGTGCATGGGAAAAATATCTCTCTGGACTGGATCTGGCCCAAGCTTAGTTCGTAGTGACCAAAATCAGACAAATGAGAAAGAAATGACTGGCAGCATGTTTTGAAGACACTTTGCTCTGCTGATCTCTTGGTGTCACTTCTTAGGCAAACATTTTACACACTTTACCATAAGCGGCTGTGGTGTGAAGCAAGCCATCCTGTAGCCACATGCCTCATTAATGAACAGCACATGCTATTCCTGTCCATTGTTCAATCATTTTACCACAAGCATACGACTTACTCCAGAATGTGATGAAAGCTTTAACAGCCACGAACAACTGTTCACTAAAATCTGCACTGAAATGCTTTACTCCTCTCTTTGTATGAAAATACTAAAATTAGGTAGCTGGAGAACTTAACAAAGACCCAAACGAATAAGGAGAAGTGGTGTCTTAAACTAGGTGAGGATTTCTAAAATACTAATGTACTAATGGCAATATGAAAAGATTAGGCATCAAATTTAAGAGCGTATTTTGTTATTTAAACAAGCTAAATGCCCCTCTGCTCAGAAGTAGGCTAAGAATCTTACCACACTGCTTCTAACTGCTGTGGCACTGAAGTTCACTGTAAGGCCAGGCTCTGTAGTCAACCGTGGCAAGAAAAAGGCAAACGACTCCTCTTCGAGCTTCTTCTGGTGAATGAAGCGAGCTGATCCCAGAGCGTTTCTCCTGCTTTATTGGCAAAAACAGAAACCTTTGTTAAAAAAAAAAAACACAAAGATGACTTTCTAGGGCCCGTTATTTAGGTCATCTGATCTTCCCTTGAAAATGCCTTTCACCAAATAAAGCCCATAAAGCTGCAACCTAGCATTAGTGCAACCTAGGTGTACCTCAGGTGCACCCCCTCCACCGCCACTTCCCACCTGCAACGCAACGATCCCCTCTTCCAGCCCTGCTGCCTCCTTCTGCCAAGGGGCTGCTGGCACTGACCCAGCCTCTCCATGAGAGCTGCTCCATCCGAGACTGCGTCCTTCCCAACCTCCCCCGTATGTCGGATCCGATAGGCCAGGGACTAAAAAAAGCTTTAAAACTATTCAAAGCCCCTGAGTCCGAAAAGACTACAGTGCAGCCTACTGACAGAGGATTTGTGCAACTACCATCGCTGATCTGATAAAACATGCTTTGGCTGCTTTCAAACTCTGTAGTTATGGTGGTGTGCAGTTAAAACATTATTTGTATGTTAAAAATCAGCTTCTGAAAAGCTGATTATTGCTGACAGTGCCTTGAAACGGAAGTCTGGGGTTTCTGCCATGCTCAGAAACACTGGGTGCTTCAAGGTGCCTAGATTTGAGTGCATGAAAGTCAAAAATATTTGCTCTAACTACAAATACTTCAGAAAATAAATATTTTTAACAGTACTGTACCAGCTTGTACAGACCTGCAGGCTTCTCCACGTCTTATTTTTTGCCACCTTTCAAAAAGTTCACTGGCAAGCTCAGAATCCACATCCCACGTAGACTGGTCCAGGGAGAGACTCTTCTGCCAAAGCAGATTTGCTAAAATGATAATAATTTTTCGTATTGTACAGTGCTCCTTTCATCAATCTACTTTTGCATGCGGAAAGGGGGAGACAGAGTGCACACGCGAGCACACAAGAGTGTGCAACCCACCTTCCCCTTCCAAAACAGCATTTGTGAAGGTAAATATATTATTGTTCACCTTTGATTTGCTTCAAAATATGCATCTGTAGACAGTAATTCTACTCAAACAAGAGTATGAGAATCATGGACTTTTTTTATGCTCTGGTAAGCCCTTTTTAATGTTATTTCTAATGGATGGCATCAAAAAGTCACGATTTTGTCAGTAGTCTTTACAGAGAACTCTCCATTGGTATCAGTGGAATATGTAAAGTCACATACTGTCTTTATATAGTAGCACAAAATTCTAATTTATAATATGGGGTAGAAAAACGAATACCATGCATTAATGGCACTTCTGTTCTACCTTCTCTTTTGCAAATGCTAAACATTTTCTGAAACGCTATTTAAGCTAGAAGTCTCAGGCTCTAATGCAATCTAAAGCTTAAATATCTTTTGGAAAGTTGGTGCCATACTGGTTCACGCATTTTCACACAGTAGGAGAGAGATAGGAAAATGAACTTTTATTGAAAGGAAACAAGAGTGGCTAACGTTGAAAGTAACAAGTGAATGTTATTTTACAGTCTCTGGTGCTTAAAGTAAGCGCTTGGGATTGATGACGATTTGAGTATTTCAGCACAGATTCTTCAAGCTGGTATTTTCAGGCATGCACGTAGACTTCTCCATTTAAAAAGTACTAGCATCTTAAATTAAAAGGAGAAGTATCTGTATTTGAAAATCTGGATGTGTTTCATTATCAGAATGAAAACAAAACAAAGAAGGACTATTTATATCGGCAATACTTCTTTATTTAGATGCTTCTTAATTACTTGCTTTTAAGATATTTACATAAGTGTGCATATGCGTCACTGATTCTCCTACCCCTGTACTTCTCTCCATCACCTCAATCCTCCTTTTTACATTTGACTGCTACTGTCTTTTTGACATCCTCATAAGAAAAAGCTATTTCAGGAAAGCGTCATTGTGAAAACACATTCAGAAGAGCATTTAAACTTTTAAAACCTGTGCTACCCAGTCATCTACTGAAACTCCTTCCTGAGCAACAATAAAACAACATCATCTTGAATCAGTCTGTCAGATTACATATTCTTCAGGCAGTCACCTGTCCACACAGTGTCTAACACTGTTTCTGTAAATGCCAGCCAGGTACTTAAAAGAACTGACACCAGCTCCTTCCATTTTATTTGGTACCACGTTAAACATTTCAGTGCTGCTCTATCAGCCTGGCAAATGCTCTTTTGCAGAAATCTACGAAATTATCACCATGAAAAACAGATAAAGCAGAAGCCTCTAAATTTCACTCCAGATAAAGGTAACTATTGGTCATTTTTTTCATCAGATAAAGACTTCACAGGATATGGGTCCAGGTTCAGCACATTTGCTAATCTCTACTCTCTTGGAGGTAGTTGGCAGCTTTATCATCCTAACCAAACATCTCTGAAGAGGGTACATATGAAGAAAGAAAGGAGCAGTATACCATCAGCAAGAACTTTTCAGAAGGTCTTAAATCCATCATGTTAAGAAGATGGAACAATAACTTAGTAACTATTATGCAGTTAGGGGTCTGAAATAAATTAAGTGCTTGTATTTACAATCTGAATATTCCCATCACAAGCCCTGCTACATAAAATGTATTTTCTACCACAAAATGGCCATCAGATGCCTTAAACAAAAAATACATGCACAGCACAGGCCTACCTGAATCAGACTTTCCTAAGTAACATTGAATATCACAATGGGCTATGGCTTCAAAATGAAGATCTCCCTGCTGGAAAACAAAGCAAACAAGAACAATTACCATCTATATGACAAAATAAAAAGCCCAATTCCTGTTTCTTAGTGTATAATGTGGATGAGTCAAGAAACAGAACTAAGGTTGCCTAGAGAACCATAATTTCAGTGCTATTTAACTTTGAGAGTTTAACTTCTCAACATCCATTTGACACAGTAGTCTGGAGTTCAGTTTTTCCCTTCAGGACTAAGGATAGCTTTCTGTTCAAAGATTCATAAAATCACAAAATGATTAAGTTTATAAGTGACTTTTGGAGACCATCTAGTACAACCCACCCCCCGCACACGCCTAAGAAAGAAGCCGCTGCAGTTTGCTTTGCAGTGCACGATAATCACTCAGCCCAGCCGAACACGATACCTTGGACACTGCCGCATAAATCTGCAGAGGTATTTCAAACATCATTCCTACATTTGTGGTCAAACAAATACTAGAAACGACATTTGTTAGAGTGTCTTTCACATTGAGTTTTAAAGAAAATACATTCCAGCAGCCTGGAGGTAGAGTCAAAGGTTCAGCAAAGTTCAGAACCTAGAAAGAATCAAAGAAAACTTAATTAAAATTGGTAAAATATTTTTGATTACAACTGGTGTCTTGGAAAGTGTGAACTTCCTCTCATTTTGCATTATTTTTGTTATTACACAATCACATATTCCCATAACTGATCCATACAACCTGCACGTGTAAGTCTCCTAGACATGCAAATGGCCAGTTAGAGCCCTACATTATGTAAGTATTCACAAACTGCATTTTCTGTTCTGAATCAAGCCATTGCATAAGTAAATTATTGGCCTCGCCTTGCAAACTTCAAAGCTTTTCTATGTACTAAAGACTTCCAATACAGCCTATGAAGAAGTGCTGAATCCTATAGGACACAAAAAAACACATGCAACAATTCTGAGAACATAGACTAGTCTATAATTTGATGCATCTGTAACTGCAACTCAACTGAAAAAATAGCTGCTAACACAGCAATCCAAAAGCAAGCTTGACAGCAAATAATGCCTATAGAGAGCTAAAGCTTTTTCAGGACCTAACAGTTAAAGACAAACAACTCTATTTTTTGCTGATTTCAACCAGCATTGAGAACTGCAAGTTCTTAAACAGTCTATTCTGTACATCAAAGGAATAAATTCTTAAGTCAAGGACAAAACATTGCACGGAACAAAATAAAACTTACCTTTAAAATGTTCTTCATCTCTCTAGCTATGAAGACTTCGGTAAGCTCAATGCTGAAGTCAAAGTTATTTGTAAACCATATGGTCCACAAACCTGAAGTATTATGATGTGGTTCTATATGAAACAACACTGCAGAAGGATCTATGTCAAAATATCTGTAAGTAAATACAGAATAAAACAAATACATCTCTAACTGTCCTCGGACACATAGAGGTCAACATGAGAACAGATAACTGTACAACTCTTGCATAGTGAGGGATTTAAAAAAGTGCTTTAAGGAAAAAGAGCAAAATTATTAAGAATATTAGGAATATTTACATATAATATCAGAGTAAAAACTGACAAGAAAAATGACAGCTTCCATGAAATTGGCACAAGAAAAGCATTTACTCCACATTTTTTTCTACAACTACACTGCTTCTATGGTGGAGAAACAAGATGGTGGAAATTTTAACACAGGTTTCAAGCCATATTTATGTGCTGCGCTCAAGAGCTGTTAAGGCACATCTTACTGCATCGTGAAATTCCTGAGGTACAGAATAATTACTTAAAATGCCACAGGTGTGTTTTAGCAAGTGTCACAACAAGAACAGGAAGGGGACTCTTCACTGTCCTTAGAACCATTCAGGGACAAAAGTAAACTCATCTGTCTCTTAAAGGAGGTTGCAGTATTCTTCACAATGCCAGTGAATGTTAACAATAAAAATCCACTGTTAACCTACCCTTCCATCACAGGACAGGAAAGACAGGCTTTTAGTGTTGCAGTGCCTTCCAACAGGCTGCTCTTCTTGTCTTCTGCATAAGAGTTTTCATTGTCACATGATGCAGCTGGGCAAAAACAGATATAGGGTAAAATAAAATACCAACTAGAAGGACAAAAAAGCACATCCAAAATGATGCTCTCAGGAGGCTTCCAAAGAACTCTGCAAAGGAGAACATTTGCTCTTCTACTTCTGTTCTACATAGGTAAAGAACAGACCTAAATGTTCATGTCTTAGTTTTCAGAGATCCTGAACCTTGATTTAAGACGAATTTATGAATGCTACCTTAAAAAAAAGGCTGTTAAGAGCAACCTGACCAGCTCTAACCAGGAGACATTGGCACAGCTTCAGATTTCTGCCTCCTGCAACAGCATTCTGATTTATCAGAACATGCTGCCCCCTTTCAATAAATGAAAGGCTATTCTGAAGCAGAAAAAAGGAAAACCCACAACTACTTCTTGCTTGCCTTGTTTTTCTAGCAAAAACAAGTCCCACTGTCATTATGAAAGCAGCCTGCTTCAGAAACATTTAAAGTCTATGCACTGCAGTCTAGTGGTCAGAACAGGAAACGGGCTGGAGTCAAGAATTCTTCAATTTTAATCTTTGCTCTTCCACAAACATGCCTGGTCTCAGACAAGCCTCTTCAATGATCCTGCCAAGAAACGTCATTAAAAAATGACCACCCATGCACAATAGCCTTTTGGAAAATACATTGGAAACAGAAAAATAACCACAAATTATAAAAGGATGTCAAAAAAGCATATTCAATAATTACACTTATTTTAAAATCAGCTAACAGTTTTAGTGTTTTCTTTCTCTTTTGAAATATGTATAGCTTAGAGCTTTAGATCAGCAGGAGAGGCAGTATATACACACAGAAATGGTGAAAACAATGGGCACAAAGAATTCCCTCTCTTAAAAAAAAAATCCCAGACAAGATGATTTTGAGCTTTTCCAGTGTCTCTGCCTGCTGCAACAAACTACACTCTAATAATCAAGTCTTATTTAATCACATTATCTGCAAGTACATTATACTGTACCTCTACAAAAAATGGAAGCAACTTTTGTAAAGTTTGTAGCTGAAGAAGATAGCAGTACTGGCTCAAACTCCACAGACGATGTCTTCTTTTGTGACAGCTGTCGTATATCCTGCATTGAGACAAGATATAAGGATCCTTGTAGCACTATTACAATTATTATTTTAACTCCTGTATTAATTCTTCTCAAAGTCTATGCTCCCATCAAATTTGCAAGCCAATATCTGCATTTTTTTCACATCTTCTAAATAAACTTTTTTTTTTTTATTTAGGTTGACAGCTCTTACATCTTAAAAAAAAAAAAAAAGAAAAAAGAAAATCCATCACTGAACTATAATCTACAAAATCTGTTAGTTATTTGGGCACATTCTAAAAATATGGAAGCAGGACATTTGCCACCAGCAAAAAGACGGCTTGCTCATACACAGTAAACTAGTGAGCTAATGAATTCCCCAGTCAAATCTAACATCTTATAAAAACATGACTGCATGAAGCACATAATTACCTGTATGTGCACAAGGCTGTTCCCGGAATTCAACACGTACACATTTACTGAGGAATCACCTGTTTAAAAGAAGGAACGCCCAGGTCAGCTCAAAGCATGCAGCAAGAAAGGCACCACTTGGTCATATCTTTCCCTCAACACCACATCTCTCTTATTTAATTATGCAAAGGGAGGGTAAGCAGGCAAACAGTACGGTGTGACATGGTGAAGCTGCCCCCAGCGCTGAGAGCGCAAGACGTGGAACCTCCTACCGCAAGGCAAGAGGGGTTACACAGCCAGGCTCCAACCCGGCCAGGACTTATAATCTGCCTTAATTTAACAGAGAACAACTTTAAAAACACAGTAGTACTTCAACCATTAGAAGTGTTACAGTCAACACCCTTGACACGAAAAACGTGGACTTAAGTTCTTAAAAGACAAAAGGATTGTGCTGTTTTTACTCATGCAAAGTCTGCATTGTTAAAAATAATGATTTTAACCTAGATGCTTAAGCAGTTCTTTCTTCTTCTTCCTTCAGAAAGCATAACTGGCACAAATGTTTCTACAGTCTAAAAAGAGCAATCCAAACAGACTGCAAGGCTCTATAAATAATTTAAAATCCCTTGGATTTGGAGGATTTGTTCACCCAATAAATGTACTATAAAGAAACTGTAAGGAGTTGATTATTTTGCCTGTGGAATTCTAGCTTACAAGAACAAATGATGCACATATCCTCTTTATTACCTTATCTTCCCTTTTCCACCATGGCCACTACTGCCAGCACAATACAAAGCATTCTGCTGTCTTAGTCCTATTATGATTAATTAAATTGACGGGAAACGAGAAATACAGCTAAATCAATAGAAATCAAATGCCCATAACACCTTTACATACTATTTATGCATACATGTAAGCACAGGGAGAAAAAGAACAAAACGGATGCAGTTTACAACTGCACAAACCAATACCTTTATAAAGAGGAGGGCTCTCCAATAACTCCATCTTCAACAAACATTACTGACATATTGCTTTCGACTGCACTGATTTTTTTCCTTCACTTGCAAAACTTTGAACTTGCCACTGAAGCAGATTCATTTAGCACATGGGGTAATGAAACACGTAGCAAACCAGTTGCTATTACAATTAGCAGTCATATTTACGACTTACCTGAGGTCTTCGTTTTTTCCACTGCTACATAAACTACAAAAAGATTCTCCAATAAGTATTGTCTGTGCTCCACAAAATCTTGTTGGGCATTTTCCATTCTTACCATTAAGCTCATTTCTAGCAGCATTGGATCATCAGGCATAAAACAGCAGCTCTGGAGTGAAACAAGGGGACACAGAGTGTGTGCAGGGGGCAAAACGGAGATTGTCCTTACAGCAAGGTGTCTTGAGAAGCTAACTGAGCATCTAAACAGGCAAGGTGCTGAACACTGAAGTGCTGATAAACAGGAGTGGTTAGGACCTCTGCTAAAACTCTCAGCAGAAACCAAAGACAGCGCAAGTAAAGACAGCACAGCAAAAACAAAGACGAAAAACAACTAAAAAGGACACTGAACCTTGAAAGAATGCAAATTTATAAACTGCCTCAGTCAGTCTCACCTCAGGGACTGCAAAACAGTTTCCTTTGTTAAATCCTCTGCCTTCAATAAAATGTGCCATAAACAGACTGATGCATGTGTCTTAATGGTAGGAAGACAGTTCATGTTCACTGGTCTGTTTATAGTTATTTTTCCAAATCCTGTGTTTTTTTGTCTCCATTTCTCACTGAAGCAATTTTAAAAAAACAAACATATATGTACAATTCTTAATAGAGAACACTGTCGCCTGGCTAGAATACTTCAGATACATACAAACAAGATCTTATTTCCTATGCTTGTGACCACCATTAACACAGATAGGTCTTACAGCAACTACAAAGACACAGACACCATTTTGGGGAAAAAAAACACACACACACACAAAAACCAAACCCAACGAGCGAAACAAGACGACATTCAACGGTGAGTAACATCAACCTGTCCTGCAACACATGGTCAAGGTCATTAGAGGCAGGCTCTGATGGCCAGCCAGGAGGAGTCATTTGCTCAGGAGCAGGAGGAAGGGAAGACTTCCAAACACAGCATGTTAAGTGCCCTAATGAAGGGGTAGCAGACACCCACAGACACCTGCTGCAATGAGGTATGACAGGAGAGGGGAAGCATCTCAAAGAGCTGGATGCCAGGGAACTCACGGAGCATCACAGAAATCCTAAGTACTTGAACCAACAGCTAGAGAAGCACAGAGGAAGCTGCTGCAGCAACACAAGCATAAGCGTATTACACTTTTAGGAAGCTCCTATCAAAGAGCAGGCAGCTGAAGTACGTGCAGTCTTAAGCTTTGTGGTGCTTCTCAAGTTTAGGTTTATCTACTATGCAATGTAAGAATCAAACAGGGCAATAAGGCAGAGTACAACGCCACTGCAGTGCATGGCATGCACTGAAATAGCTACAGAGTCTTGGCCCACTCATATTTGATATAAGAGAGCACTGCAGAGCACAGCTCTGGGCCTACACATCTGACCCAACAAACTAACTGATCAGGTATCGGCAGCACTGGGAACCAACATTTATTTGCTATGCAAACCTATTTAAAGCCCCCTTAAAGGCACTACCTGGCAGTTGGAGATCAAATGTCCTAAAAGGCCAAAGCTTTGGAGAGGTTTTTGGCAAGCCAATTTATAGGAGAGCCTCAGTTGTTCTGCACAGTAAAAGCCCAGTCCAAAGGTGCTTGAAAACACAGCCTAGGCAGTCTGGGCTGCAGCCTCTCTTCCAGCTGTTTTGTTAGTACAAACTACCAGAAACTTATGAAAACATTTCTGGAGAACAGAAATTACACAAACATAATCACTTTTATACTCCATACAAAGTAATGTAACACATACTAAAATGTTTAAAGACTGTTTTTTGGGAGGGTAGGAAAAGGGCAGTGATACTGCGATATCATACCACAGTTCCCATTTAAATGAAGACATTTTTAATTGTATTGCTGCTAAAATTTTCAAAACTCTGGAAAGCACCTCTTTAAAATTAGATTAACATATCCACTTTATACTACTTATAATACGATAATAAACATACCTTAACCTGCTGATAGGAATGCAGACTGCATTCAAGATGAACGCGTAACAAATTGGCATACATCGTTTCTGCCTATTAAAGAAAAAAGTGAAGAAAGCATCAAGCAGATTGCTTCAAGAGGTATTATATAAATCTGACTCACACACCAAAATGCAGAAAGACAGGAAGATGATCTCCATATAGGCATGCTACAACAATATAAGGAATTTTTTTAAAATAAATGCCATTACTGTATACAGGAACTCAGCAATCGGTCTCCAATTCTCAGAGATCACCATCATTAACTACTTACTTATTAAGCTATTATTATACAATAATATGTAAATATGATTAAATATTTGTACAGCATGAAGATGAGCAACCCTTATAAATTTTCATGCTTCAATAAACGTTATCCAACAGAACCTTTTTTTCCCTAATATAAAAGCTTTCTTCTTTGTTTTCTGTATATTTTATTTGTTGACTGTATTCTGAAATACAGTCGTTAAGCCGACATTGCAGCAATATTTTTGGACAGCAGCTGATAGGCAGGCTTCACGCCAAAAATGGACAGAAAAAAAATACTTGTTTTACCTTTTTATTGATTGGAATGGGGAAAAGGAAGGGAGGGGAAAAAAAAAAAAAAAGTATTGACTGTGCCAGTTTGTAAAACATTCATAAGTCTAATGAGGCAACAGCAGTGACAAAGCCAAGCATAGCTGCTGACAGCTATTTGGAAATCTGGAATGCCAAGTTAATTCCACAAACAGCTCAGCCAGCGCATCTTGATTTTAAATAAAAATGTTCATAAGGAGAGTCACCAAGCTGTCGTTATCAGCCCCTTAACTAAACCTAAATTAGGCGGTGATTTGGGGATGGACACGGAACCTCACCCAGCTTCCCTTCTGAAGGGTAATTACATCTGAGCTGGGCGTTTGCAGATGCCTTAAGAATTTAAAGAAGTTGATGCTGCAAAGCAAAATGGTGAAGAAAGGCATTCAAACATCCAACAATCTGCATCGGATCTCCATTTGCCGTCAGAAATTTTTGTACAAAGTGCTGGATGGCCTTCTCTTTTTCACAAAGGAGGGCAGGGTACATGTGAGAATGCATCAGATTTACCACATGCATGACGTTGCATTTATACCACTGGGCACAGCTTGATCATGGCACAGCCAGAGGAGTGCCAACATTTGTGCTGCAGTCTTAGTTCAACAAGGTTTTCCACCAGAAGGGCTGAGGACTCACACAAGAGGGCGATCTAACCCCTGGAAAGACTGTTAATGGCCCCTTAAAAACACGCACTACTTTTTCCAGCACAACTGTGGGAGGGAAGGATGTGAACCCCAACCAGCTCAGCTCTCTTTGCAAACTCTTTCGTCCTCATAATTTTGAGAGCAGAAAAAACATCTGGCTGCAAAACGCACATCATTTATTAACTCTCCACAACAAAGACTGGCAATGGAATTTAACAAGGCACTATAATTTTATGAAGAGCAACTTTGGGGGTTACTTATTTGCTCTGATAAACTTCTTTTGACGGTGTTCCTTGGGAGAAATCTATGATTTTCACTGTCGTAAATAAGGAGTTCTTAGCCTTCATTCAATGTTATGGTAGTTTAAATTAGTTTAAGAAACTCATGCCCATAAGACTTCAATTAGATCATGTTTTTTTTTCCAGACTTTTGTTTGAACTCCTTTACGTGACCCGGTGCACATGTACATGAGGAACTGTTTTGCTGTCTTAAAAGTGAAGCTGCTATGAAAACACACAGATGGAGGAAAAATATCTTATTTTGGTGTATTTATGTGTAATGTTAATCTGCTTTCCATGAGAACTTTTTTTCCCCTCTGTAAAGATATCTTCAGAAAAGGAGAAGGATTTGCACTTATTTAAGGCAGACAATAGCTGCATAATTGTAGTGCCTACTGTCTTAAAGCACTGGTAAATATATAGACACGGAGATAAAGAATATGAGAAGAAAAAAAAATCAAAAAGATCCAAAGCAGAGTTTCTAAGAACACAAACCCATGGCGACTGTATCTGCATTTCTCAATGGTGAAAGCAATCCAGTTACACTGTAAATATCACTGTGCATGAAGCAGAGTGCTGAAATATTCAGAGTATGTTTGCATCAGAGGCAAGTGGAAAGAGGAGAGAAGCAATATAAGGGAGGACTGAGAAAGAACTCTGTGCAACAGTACAGGCCCTGACCCTCCTTCAGTCTCCATATGGTACCTATATTTTACCTTACACACACATGCACGTAAATGTATACGTACACACACAGAGCACACAATCCCAACATGACTTGAATACAATTATTTTTTTTATTGGAATATAAATACCTATCAATTTTGGGAAGAACTGCACTGGAATGGCTTCCACCAGATGGAGGCAGAGCCGCCTCTTAAAGGCGGGGGGAGGGAGGAAGGGGCTATCCAACAGATGTGCGAGGACTCCACTCTCCAAGAGAAGGTCTGGGATGATTCCAGCTGGGAGAAACACTAGGCACCTACCTCTGAAATATTTCACGCACTCGGAGAGTGCATAACTGCAGTGCTGGCACAGGCCAGCTCAACCACGCCAGGGCTGGGGCTGCCCTGGGGAGAGAGTGCTTTACTCAGGCCTACGTACCCTGCCACCCGGGCTCAGCTCGAGGCTTTCATGGATATACTCCTGTGTTACCCGGACTGCGAGTCCGAACCGCTTCCTGGAGCTTGGCTATACTGTAATTAAAAAGAACTGAACACTGAAGAAGCCGCAAGGATGGTACTTTCCCCTCCAGGACAATCCCTGGCCCTTAAGGGCTATTTCTACCCTAAGTGGAGTGCCATTAATAGCTATTCATGTCACAATGATTCAGCAGAGCTTCATCGAGGCTTTGCAGGCAGTTATCAGGACAGCACAGCAGGAGCAGCTCCTTCCCCACGCCCGGGGAGCACACTGAGCACACACTCGCCTCGCCGAGCCTCCGCTCACCTGCACAGGGCCCAGCTGGAGAAGCCCTGGGCTCCTGCCGCTCCTTGCAGAGTTGCCCATGCTATTGGTTCACAAACTCCAAACTCATCTGGGAAGCCAGCAAAACGATATCTGTGTCTCCTACGATACAACACCCTCCCCTGAAGCCTCCTCTATGTTTGCACAGCAGTTTGAACACTACGAGGCATTGATATAGCTGCCCTTCGAGTGCCACGCAAATACCAAACAATGCCAAAAACCAGGCAACTGCAGTAAAGACTACAGCCAGAAGCTGCATAAACAAAGATGACCTAAATGGGCTGCACCATCTGCTACAGCTTAGTGGTAACTGCCTTCTGCTGAATGGCCATGCAGACACACTGTGGATTGAGGAGGTTCAATACAGCTCTTCTGTCTTCACGATTGGCAAGGCCAGATCCCAAGAATTTTGGGATACAAGAACATAGCTAGAGCACACTGGCTCAAAACACTTCAGAACTGAAACTTGGAAGAAATGAAGTTTGGTGTAGTAAAGGCAGCATTTCCTTTTCTTTCTTTTAAATAATTACAAGACTTGCTAAATAAAAAATAAAAATAAATAAAAAAGGGGGAATGGTTGAAGAAAGCCATCATCGCTGATTAAAGGATGACTACAACTCTCAAACTCAATACAGCATGAAAGTTCACATTCTCCCAAAAAAACCACTGACACAAACTCGTGATTTATCATATTCTCAATTAAAATATTACTGCAGATGCAAAATTTTATCTGTAGGCCTAGGTACAATTCTGCCCACTCACCTCACTGAACATGTATTATGGCAAAGAAATATAAACTGGCCACAAAGAAATCTACACTGGAAATTAGAGGTAGACTCCAGCGTTCAGTAGGAGCGATGGTAAAACTGCATCCAACAGTTCTGAGAAGCCCCTGGGATCAAGTGAGGTTGTTACCTCCGAGACCAAGGATGTCACTTTCAGAACAATCAGCTTAAACAGAAACCTCTTTAAAACAGGAGATAACAGATGAGGAGAGGGGAAGGAGAGCAGGAAGCATCCAGTGAGCTTTCTCACAGGCTTCCAGGCAGCAGCAGTAGACCTGGTGTCTTTAGCCCATCACACTATCAGTTCTAGATTACAATCTCATCCATCCCAAGATGGCAAGGTGTGCAAAAAAAGCCTGTGAAATCCTAAACTTACTCTGGTGTTTTCCTTCAGTGAAAAATAAGCAGGAAGAAGTGAACATGGTAGTTAAGTAGATGTGACTGTATTTGTTTTAATTTTTTTTTGTTTTGTTACCAAAAATCTCCACTGTTTGTTCAATATTTATGTACCCTATGTTTTCATGTGTATAGTTGCTTTCAAAAGCTTTATAGATCTTTTCCTTCCACAGTTGCTGAGCTTAAAATATAAACCAGACAAGACACAAGGTGACTAATAATGACTGTCAATAAGCACAGGGAGAATAAAGCCCCATACCTCCACTAATCCCTTTGGAATCAATGGGATGAATCCAACCAGTTTTTATAGGATCTGGATTAGACTGTAAATAGGATAAATTAAAAGATCAACCTCTGGATGAACAGCTATCTGCAGAGCAAAGGGACCCTAACTCAAGCCATAAGCTTTCTTCAGTGTTTGGATCATGCCTACCATCTTCAAGAGATATTTGCACAACCTGCCCCACTTTTTTTTTCTGTCCAATGCCACAATGTTCGGTGAACTGAAGAGTAATTCCCCCATTACAACCAGGCACACCATAATCACACACAGAGCTAGAAGAACTGAGTCAACGCTCTCTCACAGCTCATGTACTGAGGCAAGACTGGTGCCACGTGGTACCACTCTGTGCTGCCAAACATGACCTCAAGCTTGTGCTCCAGAGAAATAACATGGAGGGAAAATGTTCCTCATTACACAGAAAGGAAAATGTCAAACTCTCCCCAAAACCTCTCTACTCAGGCATTGTGTCAGAAATAAGGAGAAGCAGCAGAGTCTGCCTCCAAACTTTAGAAAGTACCCGGAGATCCTCCATTAAACTGGAAGTGAAACTGCACGGATACATTTCATAGCATCTCAAAAAGAAAACAATATATATATATATATCTCTAATAACAACAACAAAACACTCCGTTCTACCTCCATCATTAACAAATTACTAAACCTGAAGATTTTGGGTTCCATCACAAGGTCCCATCTGAGTCTGTGTGTGTCCACAAGCAAGAAGTACCCTTGGATGCATACCAGAAAGAGAAAGCCAAGGAACTCATCTCCTTATCCTGGGGAAAAATAAGATTGGCCTGAACTACAGAGACCCAAGACTGAAACTCCCTCTGAGGAGGCAGTGCTTTGGAGACAGAACAAACAGAAGATGACACTATGAAGGGAACTAATGCAGGTCACCTTTAAGTACAACATTAAATTCCACGTGCACTAAAGTATTCCAAATATGTTTTTGAAAAAAGAAAAAAGAAATCCACGTACAATAGTAAACTTGTGCATGAAAAGCAAAAGGAAAGCTAACATTACTCTGCATGGCCAGGACAACTATGAAAACAGCCTTCTCTTCAGCTTCTCTGTCACTTGAAATCATCACGCCTTGCACATCCCTCTTGCAGTATTCCCCCAGCTCCCTCTGGGCAGGGCCGAGGTGAGGAAGCCGCCATCCTCAGCACGGGCAGAGGGGACAGGCCAGCCCAGCTCCCGCCTCGCTCTCACCACGCAGCAGACCGTGCGTTTTACTGACGCACAAAACTCTGCAGCCGCGTCGCAAGGCAGCATGGGGAACTGATCTGGGGTAAAAATTAAACAAAACAACACACACACACACAAAACCCAGCACCCAAGCCCCCTTGTAGCACAGCAACCCGGCTTGCTTGTTTTAAGGCAGATCAGTTCTCCGATCTGGCTCACAGCAAGGCCTCACAAATAGTTTTTGTCAGCACAAGTGAGAGGACAGCACCCCGCAGGAGCATTAACAGGAACAAGTGGCAATAGTTTAAATGCCAAGAAATTTGTCTCATAAAACCAGAACAGTAGCTCATCACAACAATTCTGTGTCTGGCAACCTCACTCCTGCAGCTACAGGTACTTGGACTTTTATTTATTTATTTTTAAAAAAACATTCTTCACATCTCAGCAACCTGAGAAAAAAAATCTCTCTTATCTCATAAATTAATGCTTTATTTTTATTTAAAGTGTATACTGTACCAGTGTTTGTGAAGCCTGGATGTTTTGAATTTGTGGAAGCAGTAAATAAGCATTTGCTAGCTGCGCTCTGGACTCTTCTGGAGAAGACTTCAAAGTTCCCGCTCCAAAAACCTGTTGTATAAACAATTCATTATACCAGCATCTAGTATTTGAGTTATTACAATACCATACAAAATATCAGAACCCAAAGAAACAGACTGACTACTAGCTATACTGCATTCTTTTAAAAGGAGAAACTTTAAAAAAAGGGATTTCCATGGTGGAAGTTAATTACACACATAAATAGCACTTTAGTGTCAGGCACCCTTACACAACAAAACCACTTATCAGCAGAGCATCGAGTTATCTCAAAACAGAAAATATCAAAACTCTCTTACTAGTCTTCGGGTGATTACAATACAAATATCAGGATACAAGAAATACATCTGAAATTTGGCCATAATCTTTAATTTAACTTTAATTCGAATTTTTCTTATTTTTTTTAAAAAATACTACATTCTTGATCCATTCTACCAAGAGCAGTTTCTGACAACAAGATGCTAGATAACCTACAATGACTTCCTTCCTTCAAAAGGAAAATCCCTTGGGATTTTCACTTATTGGCATGCAAAGAAATCTTAAATTAATTTTAGGCAGGAAAAAACCCACTTTTTTAATTAGAGGTGAATACAGTGTATTCTATGTTCATTGAAAATAGCACAGTATGAATAGAAAAAAAATGGAACAAAAGAATACACTTAAAAAAAATGAGGCATTTACAAAAAAACATTTTATTATCATGGTACCTCCACTTCTCCTGGGTGAATCTTGCATATTTGATTTTAGACATATAAATGCACTAGAAGCATCAAAACCATTTCAAGGGTTTTGTGCTCTCAAGAGCACTGCAACTGTGCATCAACCACTACAGTTATGCCCAAATTTGATGCTGAACCTAAAGTAAGTTAAAACCACAGACAATGACTTTCTTTCTCTATTACAGACAGCTGGTGAAACTGTCCATGAAAACCCATTACTGATTTTAGCTGCAGTCCAATAGGAGCCAAATTGGTATTTTGGTGATACAGACACAACTGCTTCCCTGCAACTTGGTCACAAAAGGCCCCATTTGAGCTGACCGGGTAATAAAACAAGGGGTGAGCAGTGAATGCAAAGAGGGAAGAAAGGCACAAAAGAAAAAAAAGGTTTATCACTCTATAATGTACTGTTCTTTTGGCTTTGCCGAAAGGTTCCCACCAAGCTTGGGCTTACCCTAATAAATGCCAGAGGACGGCAGAGCTTCCATTCTAGCAACTGCGTTTCGACTGAATTCACCTAGGCTTTCTGTTTTAAATGGGCTTATTTTCCAACACAGTATCCTATGTGGGGATGGAACAGGTGGATGGTGCATTAAAGCTGGCACTGTTTTTAAATGAGTGATTTTGGATTTTTCTTTAACAAAGTAAATTAATAAAGGTAAAGGAATTTAAAATACATAACATCCCCTATAAATAACAACAACAAACCTTAAAATTTGCTCATGTCCCCCCAGTTAATCAGATTAAAGATGAGCTATATCCTCTACTTCAATATTTTAAAGACTTAAATTTACTGAAGAGTGGCTGAAGACAATCTAAAAAAAATGTTCTGACTTTCCAAAAAATATGTTTTCTGTGACAACTACATTCAAGGCTTCAGTATGACAAGGAATCAACTATCAGTGGCAAGACCATATTCTTACAAGAACACACATATAAATACACCTTACAAAAGTTACCTGATATGAAAGTACTCCATGAGATGAGGTATTTATAAATACTGAACTTTCAATATTGCCTTCTTCTGTTGGCAAAAAGAGCACTCTGAAAGAAACTCTTCCCATCGCTGGAATGGCCTAGGGAGGTCACAGAGAAGCTTGTTGTTCTGTGCAGTTAATCATGACACTAAATATTCAGTAGCATGGCTCAACAGACATTTCCACATGTATATCTGTATCTATAGCTGACACTGGTAATTGGTGAGTCTCTCAGATCGGAAAATTTTCACCTGCCTATAGTTTTCAGCTCTCACTACTGGAGAAGAGCTGAGAGCACCCGGCACATTGCTATATTAAACCTGGATTTTTTAGGCTAGCTCAGGCCTAGTCAGTCAAGACTCCTTTCTAGCACAGAGTTTATTGCACAGCATCAACAACCCCTACATCTGATAAAAGACATCTCTGCATAGATGCTTTTAACAAAATGAATCATTCACCTCTGTCACATATAGTCAAATGAGTCAGACAAACCTGGGCAAAACAATCAGTAGCCAAATAGGTCTATCTAAACTTATTAAGATCAAGAAAATGTGATCGAGTTTATTTCTGCATCATGTTAGCAATTTAGCCACAGTGAAAATACAAAGCAGCTACAAGCATATAAATAAAAATCTTGGCACATCAGCAGAGGGCAGAGTCTGGGCTTCACTGAACTGAGATGATAGCAACTCATTCTTAACATGCATTACATTGTTACACTTCATAAAAACATCAGAATTAAAACAATGGTCCTAGATAACGTAGCAATCGTGTTCATAACTGCAATACAAAATGCATAAGAAAATTCTACTCTAAATGTATGGAAAAGACTGAAAATTCAAGGCTGTAAACACCCACATGCCTGTGAATGACTGCATAACACTACATATTACAGAAAGATTTAAACAGCCAATTTAACATTGAAGACTTTTTCATGAATTATCGTAAAACACATTTCTTACTGCAGAATTTGGATGTCTTCTCCCATACCTGTCAAAGTAAAGTGAGCAAAAAAGCACTAGCAAAAACAGAATAAAAAGTAAGAGGTCCTAAGAAGAAGCACGAAGAGGGAGCACGAAATGAAAACTTCAGGCCGAAGAAAGCCCGAAAGTTTGGCACTTGGCCATTGCATAGTTTCCAAAAGTACATCAACACTCACCCTGCTATGAACAGGAGACACATGAAACTGTCTAGTAGCTGTAAACACTGAATTCACTACAACTTCTCTATCTCTACTAGGGTTGTAGGCATGCAGCATTTTAACTCTGGGTAGCCCCAGAAACCTGGAGGGGAGAGAAAAAAAAAAAAAAAGGGAAGATCAATTATTTATAAGTCCAGGCTATGTACAAAATGCAAGAAATACAAATCACCCTGAAACATCCTGAAACGCAACTATTTGCCAGTTGCATTTAGAAATACGGGGATTTTGCCCTTTAACATGCAAAGGCAAGTAAGAAACACTGGGATGCAAGAGCTGTACCCAACCAAAACCCACCTTAGTCACTGGGACTTCATGAAGTAAAAAACAAAAAAATACCTTCCTAAGCACAATTTCTTGGGGGGGGAGTTTTTAAATAAGCAAAATCTTGTTTTGTCAGTTAAAATAATAATTCTCTCAAGGCTAATTTTAGCCAGTATGTCCTAAAAAATCAGCAGCTTATACATCCATTTTACCCCCATTCTTACACGCACAGCCTTGGGAACATTCCTTTAACTCCCGAGGAGCCCACAGTTTCCTTTCTAGTTATTAATGGAACAAAGACTGATTATCATTAATTTTTTTTAAAGTTTGCTTAGAGGAGACCTCAAAAATCTTAAATATTCTACCAGTGTATTTGTCTGAGATTTTGGGGGGATTTTATTTTCAGAATAAACCAAAGAAAGCAACAAACTCCCTCTCATCTATAAAGGCAGCTGATCAAGAAATGGAGAGCCAGCAAGGAGAACTGATTTGAAGTCTGTTCAGATTCACCTGAAATGACTGCACTGCTCAGGGTCTGCCCAGAAGCTGTTATGGTTCCCTATTCCCTTTTCCGTTTTTTATAGAGGTAGGTTGATTTTCACCTTCCTTTGAAATCCTGCAGTGCGAGGAGCGTAACACCAACTCCGTGGCAGGTTCTACCTCTGGTTTTGCCTGAAAATGGAACCATCTGAGCTAAGGCCCTTGGCCCAAACGCAGGCCAGCACAGTGGTTCCTCTCCCCACACCGTTTTTAGCTGAAAGAACAATAACGTAAGAAAGATACTCACTGCATTCCAAAATGCAGGACTGTCGGGTGAAAATGTAAGGCCTTCCCATTTGGAGGCATCTTTGTTAAGAAGCTGAAAAAAAAACAGAGAAAAAAGCTGCTATTAATATTTACTGGGTTCCAACCATACACAGCCACAATCATCTTTTTACTTTGTTATTTGTATTACAAACACACTGGATTTCTGAGCTTTTCCTCTTTCTGCCATACATTGAACTCTCAAGTTTTTTGTACAGCAGCACAGCTGGAAAGCACATCCTTTAAAAAAAAAATAGTTTGATAAGCATTTAAGCATTTCCCAATGTCATTCTAGCGAGCGTGAACCGCCTGGGCTCACACACACTCTATCACCCTGGCACAGCCACTTCTGTGTCCGTGCAGCAAACAGCAGCAGTGACTCAATTTAATGGATTCCAGGGGGAAAAGCTGTGCCAGGAGGAACCCGGTGGCCCCGTGCAGCCCATCCGAGCCTCCTGCAAGCAGTTGTGCTGGCACAACGGGTAGGTGCTACAGGAATAGTCTGTACAGCTTGTGTGGACGCTGGCAGCAAAAGTAGCGCTTTTCTAACTATGGCTTTAATAGAAGAGCCAACTCGTTTCTTATATGCAAAAGAGTAAGAAGTCGTATGGAAACACGCACATCATCATCTCGCCTTTGCCCAAGGAAAACCTGCAATAGAGCTCCCATCATTTCTAGTGTATTTTTAGCTTATTTCAACAAGAGTTGATGCCCTGTGGTGCAAAAAGAAACCCTAGGATATCTTCATCACTTTCTTAGTTAAAATTTGCCTTTCACAAGTCTAAAGCACCATGGTGGTAAGAGCAAGCCCAGCACTTGCTCAGCGCAGCTGCACACACCGTGCTAACCTCGCTGCCAAACCTTCCCCAGCAGCAGCTGGAATCCAGAGCCAGGACCAGTTCCGTGTTCCCTGGGGATGCTGAAGAGCAGCCTGGCAAGGGGAAGGACGGGCAGGGAGGGCAGCACAGCGGCCTCATGAGCTTCACGTAACACACGGTAGCACAGTGAAACGCCCCCAGTTTAACACAGCTCTGTTAACATCACACCTTTTAGATATTGAAGTGGCTAAGAGAGACATCATAATTTATTGCCAATAAATAAATGAAATCGTTAAGGTTATTATGAGAACCCACAACTTGCATAACAGCATTCCTCACACTTTGGAGGCAGCTCTTCTCCCACTGTAGCAGGAGAGATGGAATATATCTACACAGCACGTCCAGGGAGATACTAAAAAAGGAATGAATGAGCCAGGGATACAAAACTGTAAAGCCTGGGCAGGCAAAGGTCTCCTTCCAACCACCCTGCCTCTGCCCTGCCAATCTCTCCAGCGACCCCACAGCAATGAGCATGTCCCACCTCTCCAAAAGTCATCCGCAGAGGTCCCCAGCAGCACTGCTGTTGTAAACACAGTTAAGTCAGAATTACTGCTGTAATAAAAGGCCCGGGCATCTGCAGAAAAGCATATTTCTTAAGGGTTCTTAAATCCTTTTTTTTATTATTCTATGCATGTGTATATAATAAAAATACACAGAATAAGAGTTCAGGCAGTGGCTGAAAAACAGCAGTATCGCCTTCAACCCCACCACTGCTTTTCTCCAGTTTCCACTGTCCTGACAGGCACTGCTGAAATACATTTTCTCACCTCAAAACGCTTTGCTAGGCAGAGCAAGATGTTGAGTGCTCCTCTGTGCCAACTCTTATGCTTGGCAGCAGCACTGCAGCTCATTCCTCTCATGGGGGTTTCTGGCAGCACCGGCACTTCCCCTTCCAACCCTGGCTCTCTGCAGTAGGTGCCCAACACGCTGGGTGCAAACGCAGCTGCGGGTGCAGGAGACTGCGTTCACTGAGCGAGCAATGGATCCCATCCCCACGGATCCCATCCTCATCTCACTTACGGATTCACCTCAAGTTTTGCCAGAAATTCCTCATCTGGCTGCAGATGATGTGCCCAGAAAAGTTCATGGGACCTTTCATGAGAATGCTACAGGCTTGGGAAAGATCCAAATATCAGCCAAAGAATGTAAGTCCTGAAACAACAAATATGAGGGAGCAGTCCTCTTCATAGCCTGGGGGGGAAGCTTCCTTAGCTTGGTTTTCATCTCTCTGTGCTCTTCAGTACGTTTTTCAAGTTAGCTAACACCACGTTAAGCATTTGCCTCCACAAAGGCGGACTCCACCACGCCCAACCACGTTTCTCCGTCTTCCAGACGGACTTGTTGCACATCAGCCTCTGAAACGTAGCTCACGACGCTGCAGGTTGACACTCGCATTTCTAGACACGCGTGAGCAGAACTGGAGGGGAGCAGAAGAAAGGAACCAAAGCGGAGAAAGGGGATCCTGGCAGCTACCTGGAATACTACCGAGCTTCAGGAGGTTTGCAATCATCACCAAGGCCCTGGTTTGCTCCATTCTCACCGCGCAGCTGCCCTTCCTCCCAGGTAGCCCATCCTAGGATATTGGTTTGGGGTTTTGGGGGAGCTTTCCCGAGGTTTCCTCCTTCCAGGGCAGGACGTTTCCCATGCTGTTGCCTGGGGCCAAACCAAAGGGGAGACGCTGCGAGGCTGCGTGTGCTGAAAACGGCGCCCGCACGGGTTCAGCGCAGCTTCACCTGCCTCCTCGCAGCTCCCTCCGTTTCCCTCTGATGCAGTTAGCAAAAATAGGTAAACACTGAGCATGATCTTTGCATCACAATGTTACTTTAGCCTACAGAACTAATATTTACCTGCAACGTGCAAGACAAACAAGCATTTGCTCCAGATGAAGCAAAGACCCTTTCTCCCAAAGTCTGGAAGGGAAGTACTAGGGAGAGGGCGAAGGAGGAATGGGGATAGGACCTTCTCCATGGCCTATTATTCATACTTTGCTGCCCACAAGCACAAGAAAAGTATTTCCACCAAAAAATTAAACAAAAGTCCTTGTTTTCTCTGAATACATTCTCTTCCTTTTTAGTGAAAACCAAGACAGTTATCCTGCACATTATACATATAAAAATGGTAATCTGCAGAATAAACTGCATCTAAGCAGAAGTGCAGCTGACTGAAGGGAAGTTTACCCCAGGATTCCTTTGTCTCTATTAGCTCAATAAAAAACAAAACCACTACAAAATTTTACATTTATGTTTGGCATTTTGGCACTTCCTATGTTCAGTGTAAGGTATGAATATTAACTCGTCCACAGAATGAGGTTTGGGTAAACAAAAAGTCTAGCTGTATTATACAGGAAAGCACAATTTTTAATATGTAAACTGAAGTGAGAAATGAAACTCAATATCCGCATTTACTGAGAGATCTGAGGTTCACTCCTCAAGACTATGTCTGATAAATAAAAAGGGAGACTAAGAAGAGGAAAAGTCACACATACGGCAAGAGTGGAAACAAAATACTTCTAACAGTTCTGCCTGCAGCTGATGCAAAGTTTTTTTTTTTTTAATGAATTAAAGTGTTAACTAAGGGGAATTTAACATAGAAATAAAAACAGATCCCAGCAGCAGCTGAGCTGGTCTTTTGCAGACTAATGCAAAGCTTACGACAAGTCATCTAGTCCTCTTCTCTGTCCATACAGTAAAGCTGCAGCTTCTGGAAGATGGGCAGTAGCTTAAAAAAATAAAAAGGTGATAAAAGTTCCTTGGAAATGACATATTTAACCCGAGGGGAGCATACACAGCCCCTCCGCAGGCCCCGGCCTGGCCACGCAGAGCCAGGACCATGCCCTGAACCAGGGCGGCTACATGTGAACACCGCAGCTTCATGGGCTTGATTGGTTTTTAAGGGGAAAAAAACATGCCTAGTTGGGAAAAAGAGAAAAAATGTGATTTTTAAAGACTGAAAACCTAGAAGGCAAAAATACCCCCTACTTTTAGCACCACATTGTTTAGGGAAGAGGGGGAGGGCTGACTCATTTCTTTTGAATGCTTGGGGATTGGCAAGTTAGCCCTAGGAATCCATTTACACGCTCGGCCCCAGCAGGGGCTGCAGCTGGGAGGAGGCTGGTTGGGGTCCCTGCTCTGCGCTTCTGGGACCCACTCCCAGACGGAGAGGTGACGCCGACACGAAGCAGGAGAGGCCAAAACAACGTTGCCCAACAAAACAAGCGGCGTGCGTGTGCGCTATGACGTACGGCGCACGCACCAGGTACAGGCAAATAGGAAAGGGGAGCCAAACCAAGCCGGAGGAGCGAAATAAGCAAATCCAACATCTTGCTAAGAAATAAATCCCCCAATTTACAGCCCGAGACATGATTTGAGGAGCCAAACAGGCCTCGGCTCCGAAGTCAGATTTCTCAATGGGATGTAAACATAAGGAATTCCAGCACGAAAGGGGAGGGTTGGCCGTGAGGCGCCGCAGCAGGCGGCGGGCGGGAGAGGACGACCCTGTCTCCTCGCTGCCTCCCCCAGCTGCGTGCGGGCGGCTGCTGTTCCTGCAGGAGCAGCACAAGGAAGCGTGTTTAACAGCAGCCTGGAATCACCCTCTCCCATAAATCCATCTCCAGCTTCTGAAATAACTGAAATCTGTAGCAAGTTAAGAAATGAGTTTACGATGACTTTAGCTCGTTTGGGATTGTTCTCCCAAGATCTCTGCTTTCAAATCCTTTAGCCATCAGGATTTCAAGGAACACCCTAAGCTCTCTAGAGAAAGGTCCAGTTTACAGGCATTTTGGACAGACTGCCCCCAAAAAGCGAGTGGTGTTTCACAGAGAGCGTAAGCAGCATTTCAGACCTGCGTCATCAGCCAAGTTTCCTGGATACTTTTAAAAGCCAAAGGGTATGACCAGCAGTCCAAGATGCACCTGGAACATGAGTTTCCTCTGACGCATCTCCAGCACTGCCAGCGGGTCTCGATGTCCTGGCAAGCTGAAGAGCTACCTTCATTTTCATTTTCTTCTTCTTATACTAAAACAACTGCCTGTTCATTTCCCAATATTTCAGAAAGAGAGCCCTAGGTACTTCAGAAAGTGCCTAAGAGGATGATAAAGGAAACAAGCCTTTCTGTCATCTTTTTTAGCTTCTTTAATTTAACCCTTTTAAGAAGTCAGATATCTTCTAACTGTTAACAT